TTAAAATTGATTTTGCTTTTGATTTTATTCTTTTCTCATTAATTGTTAGTAATAAATAAAGAAATTCGGTCTACCATATTTTATAGTAAATGATATTTTTTCCAATTAATTTCTTAAAATTATCAATAGCTCGAGGCTGTCAATAACAAGAGTAAATTCAGATTAATTAGCTTTATCATTTTCTCTAATTAATCCTTCAAATTTAACATCAGTACATATCTATAGAATAATTTAGATTTTTCAATATACCATTAGCTAAGATCTTGAAAATATAAGCGAGCACAAGAATTTCAAGACTGACTATAGGGTAAAAACATTGTTGGTCATTGCTTTGGACAAAGATTTTTCTTCTGGGCATGATGACGACCTTATGACCGAGATATCACCACAATGACAACTTCATCCAACGATGAACACGATAGGCTGTGAATCCAAGGATTTCTTCACTACCTGCAAGATGCAACGCTGCTTGATTTTTATAAAAATCAGATTTTCAATAGATTTTGATAAATATTGATGAAATGTGTGGTTGAAAAGTTGATTACAATTGAGAGTCTCATAAACTGTGTGGTCGAAAATGAGTTTAAAAAAAAAAAAAAAATTTGAAAAAATTAAGGCTAATTACGGCTTGATTTGATTGACAAACATTAATTTTTTTCCTTTCCGCTTTGGAAAACGCGTGCGTAGGCTTTAAAAAGCATAAAACGTGTTTCATAAACATGACATGTCCTATCGAACCCCACATTTTACACGTGACGCCATGTAGAGAAATCTATTTAAGTCACATGACGGAGACTATCTAAATTATGTATTGAAACACTTCAAATTTAAAAATAACCATTTTAGCGATAACCTGACTTAAATTTCGCGCCTAGATTACAATCTCCAACATCATTTTTTACCTTTTTAATCGAAGGGAGATGGATATCGCGAAGCATTTTGAAGAACTTTATGCTTGGTATTTGTATCTTCATCTGCAGGCGGAACCTGGAGAACTGCATCGGCCACCGGACTAGTCGAAAGGAACCTCTTATGACCACCTTGAACCTGATCGAAGGGAAAATTCTTGTTACAACTCCAACATTAATGAGATCAAATGATTTTAATGTAGCTGCCATTTCAATTACCTTATTTTCTTCAAATTGGTTTTTGGCATTTGAGGATTGTTCATCAATCATCTTGTAATTGTTAGAATCCAGATGCCCTTTTTCAAAAATTGTAAGATTCTTCCCAGGAGAATGACTTTTCTTATTTTTCAGCTCTAAAAGCAGATTGATTTCATCGATTTCAACAGGAGTCAAAGAATCACTAGTCATGACTTCATCGACTTTTCCTCCGAGTTCATTTCTCGGTTGAGGACCGGAATCTTCATTTCCGAGAGTTAAGAGCAAATTTACAGCATCAAATAATTCCTCCTCTTCTGTAGTAGATGGATTCAAAGATTTAGCATCGACCTTCGACTCAATTTCGGGCTTCATTCCTCTCCACTCCTCTTCAGAATGATCATCCATGTGCTCAAATAAAGATTTTCTTGAATAACATATTTCCTTACAAAGCCCGCAAATGAATTGTTTTTGCCCCATTCAACTTATTTTTTCCGAGTCTAGAGTTTTAATTCTACCTCGAGATGGAGAAAATAACTTCAGTGAGACAATCCTATATGCACACGCGATAGCCAAACATGTTATAAGTTACGACATGAATTTCATTCCCAATAAAGTTCGCCAACTAAGGTATTTATCAACATTTATTTCATTCTAATCCTAAGCACTTTTTTTTTCCCATTTAATTTCTTTTAAGTAAGAATCCAAAATCATGAGATAGAAAATAAGTGCACTTGTTGAAATTAGTAGAAACCATCCAAAATCTATTTACTCCCTTCTGTTGGATTTCAACAACGATGAAATAGTCTGACAGTGGATTTATCAGTAATTACAATTAATTCCTGACAAATTCTTACAATGAATTGGTTTACAACTAGTGGCGGATCCAGGAATCCGGGCGAACACGGGCGATTGCTAGATGGTCGTCCAATATAAGGAAAAAAAATTGGCGGAGCTAGCACGGGCGATTGCAAGAGTTCGCCGAGTGCTGACTCTGCTCCTGTATCCAATGCAAATAGGATGTTAAATGAAGTGATCGTTTGTCGACACGTCTCTTGCCCCAAAGGCAAGTTGTGGGGCGACTCAAGCCCAGCCACGATTTTTCTGTGCGAGTCGCTCATTGGGTCACACGATCTAGCTTAAAAGACGGGCTCATTGGCTCACTTTGAGAGTCAACTCTCAAGCAAGTTATTGGCTTGCCATATCTATTTGGCTGCCTGAATTTGAAATCCACATTTTATTTTACAATAATGCTATTCATAGTCAATGATTGTTTGATAGTCATTCTATATGGCAGTTTATTATTTGAAGCATTAATGAACGATAAACTAATAACAAACTAATGTCTCAAGTAATAAGTGTCACATAGGATGACTATCGAGACAGTCACTGACTACGAATTACCCTTCATCTTATTTTTTATTGAAGCAACAAAAATAAGATGTAAATTTAAAAAGGGGGAAAAAAAAGTAACAAGCGGTGGGTTTGGTACCTACTTTACATTTGGCAAAATCATGCCATGCATTCTATATTTCTATTACGTGGTATCGAGTATTAGATGGTTTGCAAACTAATTTGATATGAATATTTAAAACGTTACAGTGCTCAATGGATTAAGAAAACTAACATAAAATCATGCCACGTGGAATTCCCGTCATGCCACATAGTGAATTCTTAAGTCACGTGTCGAAAAGTAAGTGACGTAATTAAACATTTTAAACACGAAAGTAACTATTTTACTCGAAATAAAGTTCAATGACTAGAATGAAATTCGCTTGAAGTACGGTTACAACCAACATTATTTTTACCCTTTAATTATAAAAGTAAAATGTATATACAAAATCGAATTCAAGAACTTCATGCTTGGATTTTTAGTATCTTCATCAGCAAATGAAACTTGGAGAATTCGAGCTGCCGGATAAGTAGAATGGCACTTCTTGTGACCTCCATTATACCCTTTTTTTGTAGAATTTGAGAACTGTTCATCAATGTTCATCTAATCTGATCTCTTCTTCTTCTTCTTCTTCTTCTTCTTCTTCTTCTTCTTCTTATCCACCGTCTGATTATCAGATTTGTATGATCTGTCAAAATTCCCAGATTTTCTAGTATTAAATCCAGGTTTTGAAATCCCTTTTCTTTTGCAATTTTCACCTGTTCTTCCATGATTTTTCAATTCTAAAATAGCCCGAGTTAAAGAATCACTACTCATGGATTCAGATTCGTCAAGTTTTCCCCTAAGATCATTTACAGGTTGGGGTCCAAAATCTCCATTACCAAGAGTTAAGAGCATGTTTACTGCATCACATAATTCTTTTTCCTCTGATTTGGAAACTGATGAAGAATCAATAATGGGATTTTCGGGCCGAGGACTATCATCTTCGTTTTCACGTAGCCTGATTTCAGTCTCAAGACCGAATGAAGAACCCGCAGAATCAAATTTCGCCATGGATGTAGACTCGATTTCTCTCCACTCAATTTCTTGGTGGGCCGTCATGTGCGGGAAGAAAGAGTTTCTTGAATGAAAGATTTTCCCACAAACCCTACAGTTGAAGTTTTTTTGCCTCTTCAACTTATTTTTCTGCCGACGATTTTCTTGCTCCATTATTTAGAAAGAAAAATGGAAAAAGATTTTGAAATAAAACCAAAGACATGAATCTGAATGGAAATTTTGGAGGCTGTCTCTGTTTGAAGATGGCTGAAGTGGAAGGAGTGGTGAATGCATGGATCTTAGCTGCTTTACAAGATTTTTCCTGTCATTCTCTTGCTGAATAAATAATAGGCTTTTTAGTTTCTCTCTTAATGTCGAAATATTTTTCATGGTTCTTAAAATCAAATTAATTTTTTTTAAAATATATTTCAGCTAGGAAGTAGGTACGGAGCCAATGGAGTCCTGTGAGGGGATCGAACACGATAAAGAAAAGAATAATGTCCTGTGTACAGAAAAATGGTTCACCGGTGTCTTACAGGCCCTCACAACGAGCGGATCCCATGTATTTAAAAAATAAATTAATTAATGCGGGCCCACCTGTGTCTTGCTTGGCAGGGACCGCAAGCAAGATTCTAAAGAAAAAGACTTTAGCTTATTAAATATAAACAGTTGGTAGTCTAATGAAAAAAATTCTACATTTCATGTAGGAGTTTCAAATTCTCCCTGCCACAATCTTATTTTTTAAATTTGAAATCTTTTGTGCTATTAATCCACAACTTTTTGAACCTTCGAAAGATTCGTCTCCACCTTTAAAATCAAATTTTTCTATGATTCTATCCTTGGCCTTAGCTTTCATTCGCATTCGTCTATATAAGGAAAATTCTACACCTGATTTTTGAAAATCTCATGTATTTACTTGAACTTTCAATTTGAAACCTCCTATTTGTGTAATTTTCCATTTCATTAATTCAAATGACAATATGCTTGAATAAATTGTATAATCTACTATGGTTTTTTTTTTTCTTTCTTGGGAACAGTTGATGTTTTAGAAAAATGAATTTCAAAAAAATTAGAGCCAAACATAAACTAACGTTCTCTTATTACGTCAGCATTATAAAAATTTTCGATTTGTCACTTGTCAGTATACTGCACCTATGTTTGTTAAGTCGATTTTTTATACACACATTTTGAGATACCTACGAATGCCGAGGACTCATCTCTCACTCATTCTATCTATTTATAATATGTTTATAAACAATTTCCAAATAAACGAACAAGTACGAACTTGGCAAACTGTGATTCTAATTGACCCACGAATCACATTATAATTTGACAATTGATTAGTTCAAGTCCTCAAAACATGCAGGTAAATATACTAAAAATAAAGTTACATGACACCAAAACAGACCGACTCCGCTAACGAAAATAACAAAATTATAGCCTCAAAAGGCTCTAAAACGGAGGTGACCTCAGATTTTGTTGAAGGCAACAATGTCGCAGCTTTGCACGTATTCATTGATAGGCTCGACTGTGAGATGCTCTTCTATGAGATCATCCACTGAGACGAGATCGTCAACTATGGTCATCATGATCTGCAGTTTCTTAATTCCGTAACCAACAGCAACCAATTTCGCTGTGCAAGACCACAAAATTAAAAATAATCAGAGGCTGACTATGTCGTGTGCAAGATAAATGTTCAAATAGACAAAAGAGTAGAACATACATGCTCCCCACAAGAGGCCGGGCAACTCAACACTACGAACAGCCTCTTCGAGCTTCTTCATGTCTGTCTCATCATCCCAAGGCTTTACATCCATAAGAACAGATGATTTCCCACCTGGAGATAGATTCCAATTTGCAAAACTCAAAAAATTAACAAGGGGAAATGGATTTAGTGGCAAAATGAACAGAGGTTAGACTAGATTATCACTATCTTATTAGAAAATATTTTTGCATTTGAAGTATATAATGCCACTCACTCTCTTTCTTTTTGGAAGATGCCTTGGCAGCTTCCCTCTGCTCTGCTGCCTTCTTTTCCTCTTCTGTCTCATCACCGAAGAGATCAAGATCATCATCATCATCACCAGCAGGCTCCTGGCAAATAAAATGAAACAGTATGGAAACCCAATTAATGATGTCCATAGTAGGAAATGAAGCACCAAAATAACGCAAGCTAGGAAAAAAGCCTAACATAGTATCTACCAGCAACATTGGCAGATTTTTAATGAAGGGGAAAGTTCAAAACAAAAGGTCGGCCAAATATACAGTAGAGAGTTCCAGATTGAGCCTGGAATGCCTTTTAACTAAAATGTGCTTCACCAGCATTTAAATTTTCAGTTCACTGTCATTCCTACTCCTCACCAACTTTTTATCTGAAATCCGGAATAATTCATGAGGCAATCTCAAAGTCGACCAACAAAAGGATCCACATCATCGATAATTTGGTTAACAAGGGATATATTTAAACTTTGCCCCTATTGTCAACTGCAGTTTGTGTTAAGCCACAACATTCCGCATATTTGCTCCAAAGTGATGCCAGGACAAAATATTTCATTTGAAGAAACCCAGGTGACAATATTGCCGACAATTATTTGTTTGCTCTAAAATCCACCAGTATCATTCGCAACTTCATCACAATAAAAAGAAACGCAACGCGATAAATAATTAACTATATTGAACGTACTATATAGCCAAATTACACCTAAATAACCAATATTTAGAAACGTTTCAAAAGTTTATCAAGCCCAGGCACAAATGTACATATTGTTTTCTATACATTACCCTCCACTATGGTAAATATCTGAAGCTGGCATTAAAAAATTGATTGACCGAAGTGTGCGTGTGTGGCGTAGTCAACACATCATAACAAGATATCTGAGTGCAGTCTCCATTCATAGTCCCCTCAAAGTACCTCTACATTTGTTCACCGTTGTTCCCTGCACACTTCCCTCCACTTCTATGAATCCCACAATGGGCACAACTATGTATAGATATATAGCTCCACTAGAATATGCACGTCCAATTTGCCAATTCTCATCAATGAAATGGAACCTCTTCTACAATCTAATTTTTGGAAGGTAAAATTTTCTAGTTAATACATTTAAGATTCTAAGTTATTATAGAATCTATGGAAGTGCGACTTTTTCCATCATAAATCAACATTTTTGATCTTGATTTCAAGAGTGGGGTTCCATAAAAACCTCAAAAGAATCGAGTGCTTAAGTGACAGAAGATAACTAACGCACTATCAAAGTGCACCATAAAATGAAAAGAGGAGAATGAAATACCTTGGCTTCCTCCTTAACTGGTGCAGCTTCAGCAGGAGCAGCTTGGCCTCCAATTCTCACACCTACAGCCTTCCCTGGAAAGCTATACAATTATGCATAAAGCAGCAAATAAGCAAAACAAATATCAGCACAAACTAAAAGTTAGATACACTCGAACATAAATAATTATAGACAGCCAAAAAAGGCTCCTTTTGGGCTTTTATCAGAAGTAAAAAAATAATATTATTAGAAAAACAGGATTTTATTGGCTTTTAATGCAGGACAAACATGCTAAAAGTGAATTCAACTCATAAGATTCTTCAATAGGCAAACAGCGATGATTTATGACTTTAGTTCCTAAATTTAATCAATCCTGAAACTACCAAATTGTAAAAAGGACCTATATTCGCTTTAAAAATACTTGCTTTGCTCTTGAGAAGTCGAATTATCAGTTCATATCTTTTCTCCTAATAAGCTAGTCCTACATCCTAAAGAATTAATAAATAACAACAACAATAAAGTTAAAATTATCATGGGATAAATTACCTGGCTGCTAGCTTCAAGGAAACTCTTTCATACCACTGACTGGCATTAGTGTACAGATCGCTCGGTTTCTCCAAAACAGCCGCATACACCTTAATATCATCTTTCGTCAATTGATCCCTACAATTTGCATAATTAAACAAAAAATTAAAAAAATCGTGAAATATTCTCGTCAAATCATTGCTATGAATTAATAAAAACAATAATTAGTTGGCCACAACAATTTACTTAATCAAACAAATAAAAATAACAACAATGAGATGCGAACCCGGAGATGTAAGATTTGTCGGAGAGAAACTCATTAAGGGCCTTGAGGCCGGATTCTGTGTTCAGATCTGAGAACGTAACAGCCATTTTAGTGATTTTAGAGAGGGAAATTATGGGACTGAAACCTCGAGGGAATAACACTGAAGACGTTGAGTAGAGAGAAGTAAGCGTACAAAGTGAGGGCTTTTATATTGGGTGGATGAAGAAACCCTAGAGAGTATATTCTTTTTCTCTTCCAATTAATGCTTTTATCGATTCTTTTCAAAATTTTAAATGAAAAATAAAAAGAAGTTATTTTCTTTCTTTTTCTATTTTTCATTATTTTTGACAAAAAAAAAAATAAAAAATAAAATTAGGATCCGTTCGATTGCAAATGTGAAAAATAGATGGAAATAAAATGAATTCTAGGGAATTGAATTATCTAAAAATTATTTTATTGGGAATTTAATTAATTATATTTGAATGATATAATTTTCCACTTGGAAAATGTTGAAATTTTGGTATTCCTTTGATTTTGTTTTTTATAAAAATTGTCTATTAAACTAATAATTTTTTTATCATTAGGTTGAAAATTTGTTTCACTTGCCAAAAAAATAAATTAATTAATTAATAAATTTTAAAAAAATTATCATACCGAATACCATTTATTTGGCTTTGTTTTGCATGAAAATTGTCAATAAAAGTGATAAATTTTTTTACCATTTGGTCTAAAATTTTTCCCAATTACCAAAAAAAAAAAAAATCAACAAAATCAAGGAAAATGTGCATGTGTGAGAGAAAGTGAGAAAAAATTTTCCAAGGAAAATTTCTACTATCAAACGACGTAAAATCTAGAAAATGGAAAAAGAATTCCTAGTTCTAGGGAAAATTAAGGGTATCAAACAGGCACTTATAGTTAAAATTCTCGAGCTATGCAAAGTATATCAAGTAGGTTTTAGCCCCCGTTTGGCTTCCATTCTCTTTCTCATTTTTTTTCTCTTTCTTTATTTCAACCACACATTAATCAATAAAATAATATTACACATATACCCAAAAAATTTTCTCACTTTTCAACCATACATTCTTTCCATCAATCACTATTTCAGAATTTATTCTTCACCAAAATGTGTGTCAAACACACCCTTAATCTTTTTTGTCGAATATGCAAAGTGTAGCATTTGAATTTTAGCATACAGTCTATGTCCATTTGATTGTTAAAAAAAAAAAAGATAAATTTGATAAAATGATTAATTTTAAGAGTTATTTTAATAATAAAATAAAAAATACAAGTTTAACTAATGATCTTTTCCACCATTTTCTAACATTCTAGAAAATAAGTAAAGGCAATATCGAAAGAAATAGCATCGATTAACTTTATATTACAATCATTGTAAGATAGATGATACGAACATTATCTTAAAATGATTGAACTTAAAACATCTGTACCTGTTGGCATACAAAAAGTGTAGCCCAAATTGAATAGTCCAAGGAATGAAACATAATTAGGAAATCCAGGATGAAGGCTCAAATATGACCATTATGGAATGCAGTGGAAGCCCACGAACAAAGTATCATCATCACCCAAGTTTGCAAGAAGCACAAGACCTGAGCGAATGGAGTGTTTTACTGTCGTCCAAAGCGATGATACCGTTCTCGCCCAAACCTTTGAGGTGTTCGGAATCTGAGCGAATATAAGGCATTATGGTTATCTAGTACAACAGTTATTAAAGCGGTTATTAAATAACCTTATCACACCCCACAATCCAAGAATCCCGGTTGCAGGAAGTTAAACGAAAAGAGTAATGGCAACAATTAGAAACGGCAGTTCCATGACAAGTCAGTCATCATGAAGAAAGTGGATAGTTATAGAACATCAAGCAATTTCTAAGCAGTTTTTCACAAAGAAACTATCAAAAGAGTATAAAAAGGAAAGGAAGACATAGAAGAAAAGAGATCCCGAATCAAACACTCTCAACAGAGAATATATAATTTCATTTCTTAGTTAATTTTAAAACATCTCTTCTTATCACTCGTGTGCTTGCACTCTTTGGAGACATTCTGTTTTCTTTCCAATTGTAATCTTTATCAATAAAGCACCCATTTTTGGGACTTTGTCTCAAGATGTTTGTTCTTTACACAATCGTGTGAACTTTTTTTAATTGTTAGCGACGACTCGCGCGATACAATTTGACACGCCCGGGGGGCAATTGGTGTTTGGTGTTTGAAAATACAAAAAAGTGAAGCATTATACCTCATAAGAATTCTGATAAGAAACCAGCAATCCAATGAGTAGTTCAGTCTGTGATCGAGTGATATGAGGAGCAGCAAATCTTTCTTTGAATAGAGACAGAGTCAAAGCAGTCAAAGTCGCTACGAGCTAATGACGGAGTTGAGTTCTCGAACCATGCTTGTATTGCTTGGGGAACTCACACAGGATGTTGTTGAACAGGTAAATTTACGAAATGTTCATAATATGGAAAGATTTACCTAAAATGGGAATGCACATTATGACATATGGCCAAACAACTGAATACATTAAACGGAATAATGAATAAGTTAGTAGGCCAAATGTGCTAGCCAGTTGTGCCTATTGCAAACCACTTTCAAACCAGGACGATTGTGGGACATAATTCACCACATAATTCTCTTGGTTTGAACCCAAATCAAGGATTAGAACCACCCTTGGGTCCGTCTACTTCAAATCAGGGTGGTAATGGAACGCCAAACTTAAATTGTGGTAATGGGATTACAAACTTTGGGGTAATCCAAATATAAGAGACATTGTCCTGAATAATGGACAGAACGTCCCGCGCATTAATGATAGATTAAATACTCAGGCTAACGGTAATAATGGCCCAAACAATGGCAATTTTGTTGCCAACCAAGGACCAAATATTATGCCTCAAACAAATCAACCAGTAAACCAACCTGTAGGAATTCCATATGATCCCAACGTCATGTTGAAGAATCAAATCATGGAAATAGTACATAATCAAATGACATTTGGGGTACGTCATGTCATTAGACCGACTTACACAAAGCCATATCCTGATTGGGTAGATCAAGCATATCCATGGCCTAGGATTTTCATTTCACTGGTTTAGGAGAAGTGTATACTCTAAAACATATATGGCGATTCACACTGCAAAGCGGTGAAGTGACTGACTATATAAAATGAAGTTGTTCCCTAATTCATTAACAGGAGTAGCTTTCTCCTAGTTCATTAATTTGCCACATACTCTGTTCAAACATGGCAACAACTGGAACAATTGTTCCATACTCAGTTTTATAAGACTGAATCTGAAGTCACCTTGGCCGATTTGGCGAATTTACATCAAATGTCAAATGAATTGGTAGAAGGTTTCCTTCAAATGTTCAAAATAGTCAGGGGAAAATGTTTTGTACCTCTGTTTGAGAAGGAATTTGTCAAAATCGCTCAAAGTTGCTTGAGCTTTGATTTGAAGAAGAAATTTCAGGATAGAGAATTTTCTGACCTTTTCCAACTCAGCGCAAAAGTGATTAGGTATGAACGATTGATAAGAGAAAAAGAACAAATGAAAAACTCTAGTAAATGGACTTATTATAAAGATCCAAATTTTAACATTCATACTATTAACGATGAATATTACGATTAAACTGAAATATGTTTGGTCGAACTAATTAAAGGGGATGCTTACGCCTGTCTTGTAATGGCCGAGCCTAGACCGTCGGGTAAGAATGAGCTATAAAAGATGAAAACAAACAGGCTAGGACGTTCTTGTTTGATGTGACAAAAGTTGACCTTATATTTGACAAACTGTATAAGGATAGCAAATAAAATTGAGCGATAAACATAAATTGTCAAGCCCTAAACAAATTAAGGGTAAAAAATATTGTAAGTGGCATAATGCATGGTCACATTTGACTAATAATTGCTTGATCTTTCGTCATGTGTTACAAGATGCTATCGAATCAGGGCGAATCACGTTTGAAAATAAGAACGAAATGGTAGTGGATGAAAATCCTTTCTCACAGCCACTTGGGATTAACATGGTGACGATTGGTTTCAAAAACAAGTTCCTAAAATTCAAATTTGTCATAGATGATGGGGAAGAAGATCCTGGGCCACATCCCAGTGTTTTTGAACGTATCTAAGGGAAGGAGCCTAGAGAGGATGTAGACGTCTCATGTGCAATATGCAAAAGAGAAATGAGTGCAAAAATGGAGAGAACCGGAATATGGCAATTTCACCATCGCCCGGATCTGATTCCAAATATCCAACCTGTTGGAGGGCGAGGTGTATCATTCTATAGAAGACTGCATTTTGAGAGGCAGTTTAGGCCGATAATTAATGGGAGAACATTCAAGCTGCAATCTCGCGAACCAAATGTATGACATTCATTCAAGTATAATGCAGGAAGGGTGATACCCTTCAATGAGATGACTATAACTCAACAAAGGCATTTTCAATGGAATTATGGACGAATGATGATGCAATAACAGGGATTGCCACGTCATAAAGAGCCTAAACTACTCGAGGTGGCTAATCAAAATATTCTCAAGGATAGTAAAGAAACTGGTATATGTGAATCAATGGAAGAACTCTCAGAAAGTTCTTCTGAGAGATCAAAGTTTGAGCGATGCAAAAAGGATGAAGAAGATCCAGAGCAGCCCCTCACTATTCAATTCGGCACGTTACCTTCTGTCATGTCTAATAACTATTTATTAGCAAATGAGTTTAAAAACAAAGAGAATGGAGAGGAAGAAATGGAGGATAACGAGGAGGAAGCATGTGTGCTGGAATGTGAAGAAGGCCAAACATCTAGAGGGGCATACGACGAAGAACATGATGATGGCAAGACGGATGTCAAAGAAGAGATTGACTTGGAAGGAGAGAGAAGAATGAGGAGAGTATCATGCAGCACATTGTTGAAACAACTATATCGAGTAGGTGTTCGCGAGGTAGAATTGTTGGAAGAACCATCGGGGTGTTCCTTTGATTACTATGTATTGTACGGGATACCCAAAAGGAAAAGGAGAATGCCTCGCTCTGAGAAATATGGGTTGCCTCCAAGAATATTGCCTCTCCCTACAAGATGGGTAACTGAAGAAGAAACACTAGAAATAGT